ATAACACCAGGGCCCCAATAACACAGTTCATTTTAGTTAGCATGCTACATGGTATATTAACTGTAAGTAACTGCATAAAGAACAAACTTCGCTCCTAGCACTTCAGCACACAAATCACTATGTAAATAACAGATGCACATCATGATCCATGACTAATCACATCACTTCCTCCAAAGTCTGTATGGTCACCTCACATCTGTTATTCAGTTCACCCAGATCTGTTTGCTATCACACAGATAGCAAAGTGTGCAGTTGCACTGCTTCCTTGTCTCCCAGAGATAAACCTCTGTGACATTGTACAGAAATGGTCAATCAAAAGAATGAATTGACCAACAAGGATGAAAGCACAGCAAAGTACAAAAAGAGATAAAGCTGGAATTGAAATCCAAATGGGGATTGGGGCTATAGACGAAATAGCTGACTGTGGCAATGTTGTCACTGCTCCAGTGTGAGTCCCTCTACGTATGCAGCAAGCAGCACTTAGTGAAGGCAAACTAATGACATTAAAGAGGAAAGTGGTTGTGATGAAAAGGATGACGATGTCCCAGAGGAAGTGAATCCAGTAAAATACTTCATATTAAGGAAGCTCTTGGAGACATGTCACAACATTGAACATGCAAAGGATAAAATGTTGGACGCTGATCCAGACTTAGAAAGAAATATGACAATTTTGCCAAAGCAAGGAAAAGATGTATTGTAAGTTGTACGATAAGACAGTAAGTACTGCTGAAACTACTCTCAGTATGTTTTTTACAAGGAAGTAAAATACTTTAATCCTCAATGTTTCTAATGCTTTAAATTATAGTTTACTGAATATCTGCGTTTACTACTTTTTTCTTCTCCCTATACATTTATAACTGGCCTTAAGAGGAGTTTTAATGTTTTCACAAACAATTTTAAAGGTCTTGGAATAATCATAATATTTCCTATTGATTATGAAGAACACTTGGCACGCTTCAGCTCGCATAGTCATTTTTACGTCCTATACTCCCAAGCAAAGTGAGATCTGCCTTACTTAATTACACCATGCAAATTAGCACTTAAATATATTTTGTCCCCATTTTGTGTATCTTGACTCCTCAGCTGGAGTTGAAACTGCTTAATTGAGAAATAAGGCAAACCCTATTACTTCTACATTGCCTACTCCACCTAGCATAGCATTGACTATTTGGTAACGGCTTAAATAGCACTTATTGGCTTACTAAATAGCTACTCTTATGGTGAACAATAGGGATTTTATAAAATGTGAAGCCATAATAATAAATATTATTCCTTTTATGAGAGTGTAAGATTTACCCATTTTATTTTCCACTGTTAGGGCAACAAAGTATGGCTCCCAAGGTTGTATATTCCTAGCTCACAGGTACACTGTTCCTTTGGTTGATGAGGTAAATGGTGGCCTGTGGATTTGCTTTGTACACAATTTGTATAATCCCACAGGCAGCCCTGACTCCTACCCCTAGCACCTAGAACAATGCCTACCATACCGAAGGCACATGATAAATATTTATCAAATGAATGTAATTAGTAATAATTACTAGGACTGTGCACTGCACATTGTGCCAGATTTTTTATATATATTATCCTATACTATCCTTACCACAATCCTATGGTCCCCATTTTATAGATGAAAAAAGCTTGCCTCGGAGAGATTATGTGACTCACCCAGCAAGGGCCTACTAGAACTGGAATTTGAATATAGGGCTGTTTGATACTAATTCCACCACACTGCTAATAAACTGACATTAGTGACATCAAATGATGTGCAAATGGATTAGAGAGAAAGAGATGATGCAATTAAAAATCTCTTCAAATTCATTTCCTCTTATCCCAGGCCTATCCTGACAAGGGGAGAACTTCTTATCAGATTTATTTTTTTGCATAATTTTCCAGTTATAATTTCCCTTGTGACATTCCTTTTTTAAAAAACAATTTTTAGAAAGAATCACAAAAACTTATTTCCTATACTAGCTTAAAGCAGAAATGATTGTTTATTATTATTTTTTTTTGCGGTACGCGGGCCTCTCACTGCCGTGGCCTCTCCCGTTGCAGAGTACAGGCTCCGAACGCGCAGGCTCAGCGGCCATGGCTCACGGGCCCAGCCGCTTGGCGGCATGTGGGATCTTCCCAGCCCGGGGCACGAACCCGTGTCCCCTGCATCGGCAGGCGGACTCTCAACCACTGCGCCACCAGGGAAGCCCCAGAAATGATTATTTAGAACAGTCTCTATATTTACATCATTTTATGACGCTTTCAGTGTATAAAAGAAGGTGTGTGTGTGTGTGTGTGTGTGTGTGTGTGTGTGTGTGTATGTAACATCCTTTATATTTTAAGAAGTTCATGTTTTAAAAAAATCAGTTCCTTTTCTGCTTTGGTATTTCCCTACACAAACACTTTATAGGTACTTCTTGGCTAATAAACTAGTGATCGCAGGAGGAGACATACCACTGTAGCATAATACACTACATAAATTTCTATTAATTTCTTATTCTAGTAGCAACACATCAGATCAGCCACAGCAGGCTCTTCATGCGAAGGGTCAGGAGGCACATGAAACCTGAAGAGGCCATCATGGGCCATCAGAGACTGTGATGTACCTGGGCAAACCCACTGTTTTTTTGGAGCGCTGCTATAACTGTCAACTCAGCAAATGCCCCTGCTTCAAACTTGAGTTAGTTTGAAACCACTGTTGAACAGAACACGGTTTACTGTCTCATTTCTCTCTGTCTCCTCTTTGTGTCTGTCTCTCCCTGACTCTCTTTCCTGCTGTCTCTCCCTGACCACATCCCCCCTGCTGCCCCATCCCTTTTCTCTTCCCAGGATTCTATGCTAAAATTGCTTTTTAAAATCAGGCTTTTGTTCTTTGATATTTGTTCTACTTTTAGATTCTTACTGTATGCCTTACAATGCTCTTTCCTGGCTGTTCACTTTGCCTCCCTTCAAATCTTCACATTTATCTTCCTTTCTCTCCCTCTCTCTTTTTTTTTTTTTTTTTTTGTGTGTGTGTGTGTGTGTTTTCAAGTTCTAGACAGACGGGAGAGAAAAATATAAAAAACAAAACAGAGGTGGAAGCCCATCTAGGCCAAACTTAGTACATATTACAATTTTTATGATATTGGAGCTGGCAACATTTTGATTAAAGATCCACGACTTCTTCATTCAAAAGCAAACGCTAGCTTAGTATAATATGAAATAATGTAGTATGAAATAATATAGAATAGAATAGAATAGAATAGAATAGAATAGAATAGAATAGAATAGAATAGAAATGCCATGATTCAAGGTGGAACTGTGAAAACCATACTTCCAAAAAATACTGTCTACTTTCCTCTCCATACAAGGTAGAATTTGCAGGGCAGGTGCTCCATGGTGAATGGCAGAATGAAGAGGCATAAGACAGCAGTGTAGTTGTCTGGATTAACTTCTCTCTGGGAAAGAAGCCACAAGAGAAAACACTGAAACTCTTTAAAAGCAGTAGATCTTTTCCAGTCTCTTGAGACATCTATCAGCCTGCATGGCTCAAAAGAAAATTTTACTTGCACTTTTGTTTCCCTTTTCTGTTCTGTGCAGTGAGTGGTCTTTGATCCTAACTTCAAATCATGTACTACTTCTTATTTTAATTAAATTTGTCCTCAAAATCAGGCATTTCAAAAGGATGCAACTTGGCCGTTCTTCTTGTCTGCCTAGAACTTCCTGGTGTAACCTCTCTCCTCTGTATTAAACTGGGTGATATTTTCCCATGGGTCACTGAGAGGGTGCTAACTTTATTATTTTTTTAATTTTGGTTTTCTCTATTCTCCTATTCAATATTCTGTCAAGTCCATGAGTGAAATTTTTATTTCACACATTATGCTTTCCTTTCTCTTTAAACTAAAGGATCTGTTGCCTGAGCATTTAGTCAATGCTCCATTAAGGTGGTAACTTGGCTTGTGCTCAGGACCTGAAACAAAGAGTTCTACCAATTGTGGTCAGTTAGTGGGGTTTTTCCATCAATATTCTCTCTCAAATACGTCACTCTCCTTGGGGCTTAAACTATATCCCCTCTGTACAAATTCAGTTGTTCAACAAATATTTATTGAGCAACGACTATGTGCTAGGCCTATAGATATGGTGGTAAACAGAACAAATAATTTCTTACCTTCATTGAGCTTACATTTTAGGGGGGATGACATTAAACAGAATAGTAAATAAAAGGAAAAGCAATATAAATTTTGATAGGTAAGTGCTATCACGGGGAGGAAAAACTTTTCCTCTGCTTTCTTACAATCTGTCGCTAGGACCTGCAAATTGAGCTGACAAATGACAGATTAAACAGCAGAAATTATTAACATATACATTTTATCTGATGTTAATAATTTCAGATGGCACAGAGGCTTCATAGGAAAGAGGTGAAAACCCTAAAGAAGCAGTTAGACTTGGGGGCCTATATACCGTTTTAACAAAGGGAGATAAATTGTGGAGAAGTAACTAGAGAAAGGAAAGGGGTTTGGGCTTCTAGGCATGGTAAATTGTGGGAAAGTGACTAGGAAATATATGGGGGTACCTAATGGAAGGGACGGGTTATTTTAATAAGATTTGTTTGTGAAGATTCATCTTGGTATCAACTCCTCATCTCCAGATAAGAATGTTTTATTCTTTCTGGTACCAGGATGGCATTTTTTCACTGGAAATTTATGCCCTACTTTTAGGTAGAAATGGGGAAGGGCAGAGAGCCCTTCTTGCATCTGCTGTTTTTCAATTGCCTTCAGCTCAATATAATAAATATGGCCTAAGCAGTGTATTTAGAGGTGCATATTCTGATTCCCTCACTGTGAAAGCAGTAAATGGGTACTATGATGGGGTAGAGATGCACTGCTTTAAATAGGGTCATTAGGGAAGGTTTTTATTAGGAAATGACATTTGCTCTGAGAGCTAAAAGCTGATATCCTGGATGGTCAATTCAAGGTCCCAAGAAAGAAGTCTGCAGGTAGAGGGAACAGCATTGCTACCCTGTGGCAGCAATGAGCCCCAGAGGCTGTCTTGCTGAAGAAAAGAAAGGCAGCCAGAGGGGCAGAGGAGAGGTGAGCAAGGGTGAGTGTGGAAGAGGTAAGGTCAGGGAATCATCAGGGGCTGGATCCTGTGGGGCCTTTGTGGGCCATGGGAAGGAATTTGGATTTTATTTTAAATGCCATGGGAGACCTCTGGAGGGCTTACACTTAAGGGTGACAAGAGCCAGTATACTTTCAAAAGCTTACTCAGAATATGTGTGGAAAACAGATTTTAGGAGGTGGGATGGTAAATACAGGAAGTCTAATTGGGAGGTGAATCAGTAGTCCAGGTGGCTTGGACTAGGTGGTAGCAGTAGTGATGGAAAAGTGTATAGATTTAAAATACATTTTGGAAGTAGAACTACCAGGATGTGCTGATGAGTTAGATAGATACAGGAGAAAGGGGAAAGGGAGGAGTAGAAAATGGCTCTTAAAATTTCGGCTTGACCACTATGGTGTGTTTCCTGAGACAGGGAGGACCAGTGGAGGAAGAGTTTGGGGAAGAGGAATGAAGAGTTCTGTTTGTGCGTGTTCAGCGTGAGGTGCCTATTAGACATCCCAGGGGAGCTATGTAGAGCTTGGAGTTCAGGGGAGGTCAGCATCTCTTGCCCTTAAGTTTGGAGGAAATTTTACAGAGCAAATAGTGTAAGAGAAATAACAATACATCTATCTTGAAGTTAGAATTATATCCTCATTTATTAATGTTTGAGTCAACTGCTTCATTTTGGAAAGCAAATGACTGGTGATGGCAGGTTAATACAAGAGGAGGACACTTTTGACATTGGCTGTTAAATCAATGTAGATAGTATTTTTCAGAGCAGGATTCTAAGTGTTCATCTGGGAATGTTCCAAACGATTTCCCAGTTTATTCTGATGTTTGAGTGGATTTAAATCCCAACTCTATCACTTACTAACCTTATGATTGTGGCAAGTTATTTAAGTTTCCACAGCACTGTTTTCTTGTGAGGAAATGGAGATAATATTGACCTCACAGGGTGGATTTCATCAGCGGCCTCTTTAGTCTTACGTGGACATTATGTGAAGGGAGACAAGAGATTAGTGAAAGTTATATTTGCCTATGGCTCCCAAAGATGACCTAGATTCAAGCTGGATCGGCCCAAGAGGGCCAGCTAAGGTGCTCAACACAGCACTGCAAGGAGGCCTCAACCCTATCCATCACCTCCTCCACTTTGAGATGCATTATGAAGATAGTGAGCCCTGCTGGCAACCTGGAGTGGACGATCATTTAATAAGCTCAGAGGAGGGTGTGGAGTTGATCCCTGACTCTAAGCCTGGGGCCACTAAGACTTGCCTTGAGAAAGAGACACATGTTTGTTATTCAGACTGATGCCCCTAATGCAGTGGTTCTCAAATTTAAGTGTGGATCAGAATCCCCTGGAGGGTTTGTTAAAGCACAAATTGCTGGGCCCCACTCCCAGAGTCTTAAATTCAGTAGGTGTTGGATGAGGCCCAAGAATTTGCATTCCAACAAGTTTCCAGGTAACGCTGATGCTCTGAGAACCATACTTCGAGAGAACCATTGCCCTCCTGCAACCCAGAGACCTAGGCTGTATGTGTGACTGTGACCTCATACTCTGTACCTGGTACAGGCAAGAGTTATCCATCTTGGCAACAATGTTACAATGCATACAACAATGATGATCTCATACAACAATCCTCAACCTATGGGGAAAAACTCATCTCTAAACACAACTTCTCTCAGCTCCAGAGAGAAAATTAGAATCCTGGCTTTCAAGATCAATTGGATCCAAAACCCATATGAAATGAAGAATATAGAAAAGTAGAAAACTGCCTTAAAAAGCTATATACCAATCCAGGGCCTGGGACCCCTGCCGCCTCCACAGTTTGCATCTAACCATAGGATTTGGGCCCAGGCAGTAGGCTGGACCTGAGCTACTACAGCTCCCATGTCCTCTCTGAAATGGTACCCTGCCTCATGGAGATTGTGTGGGATACATTAAAAATTCCACCTGGGGCTTTCAATCATACCACAGGCAGTCAAACTTGGCCCAGAGGAAAGAAAGGGCTTGAAGTTTCTCTTAGTCCTATCCCCAAAAGACTATTTCATTTCTACTCTACAGACAACTAAGGGACTTTTGCTCTTTTGTGCATTCTGAATTTTGTGTCCTTTTTCTCCCCTCCTATCTCCTGAAGGAAAGTCATCGTGTAGGTTTGCTCCATTTGGCACCTCTGATCCTGGATTTTCCTGTCAGAGCCTATATTGTTCCCGTTGGAGGTTTTCTTGATATCTGACTGGCACCTAAATTTCCTGTCTCGTTGTGCCACAATCTACTTGACTTGTATTTCCCCTCCCACACATCCCTACTACTGCTCTCTCTGGCTTCTGGAATGAATGTCTTATCAGTCAGGTCAAGCTACGTTATGGTGCAATAACACATGATCTTGATATTTGAGTGGTTTACAACAACGAACGTTGTTTTCTGATTTAATTTCTCATTCATGTTCTGTTCCACGTCATCTTTATTTCGGGGCTTGGACTGAAGGAGTAATCCCTACCTGTGACACACTGGTCATTTTACAGCAGAGAGAAAAGCAGTGGCAGAACCATGCAATAGCTTTGAAAGCTCTGCTAGAAGTGTCACATGTCCCTTCTACTCACATTAGTCAAAGCAAGTCAGAAAGCCAACCCTAATATTGGTGTGTGGAAAATATAATCTTCTCTCAGTATAATCCCTCCTGTAATATAATCCTCCCCTGCTGGGAGGGGCTGGCAGGGTGGAGCTGGACTTGTGTTTGTTTTTACAAACTGATACAAATTAAATTCTAACTTTATGGACATCTAGGAGATTCAAGTTAGCAGTGATCTGCTCCACCCTTCTTCCCTTTTTACTTTTGCAGCCTCCCTGTTTTCACTGGCCATTCTACCCATTTTCCTTCTGTCATTCAAGCCATAATCAGCTTCTTTGGACTCTACAAATTGATCTTAAACTTTCTTTGGTTGAGAGGTTGAGAAAGGGAAGAAAAGAAGTGAAACAGGGAGAAAGAGGAAAGGAAACTACTTTATTTAAGAATCTTAAACCAATGTACTTTCATAGATTTAAACAAAACTATGCTCCACAGGAAAATTTCATCTGTCCAGCGTGGTACAGACTAATGACATTACCAGTTGTCAGTGGCCATCTTTTAGTCACTGCCATGTTTGCTCTGATCGTGCCTATATACGGGGGTACTTTATGAACCCTTTTGACTCTGTTTTGTCCAGAAAGTACAAAGGCCATGGGACTGTTGGAAGAGCTGGTAAGAAGACACATATGGCTGTGATGGAAACCAAAATGGAGAGAATAAACATTTTAAATGAGAAAATGATGAGAGTTGCATGTGTACAAGGGCTGAGTTGCTTCCCAGAAGGAATAGTTCTGAAGGACAAAGAGAATCAGGCAGCAATTGAAGAGCTGGGCTTTTGCAATCAAGAGTAATCAGCAAGAGATGAGGCACAGTGATTAACAAAATGGAAAGCCTTGCCCACGGAGATAGATGATCAGAATCAACACAGATGTCCTTTAGCCTGTGTTAATTCAGGAGAAGGCCAAGAGTTTGTTTGAGAACTTAAAGGCTAAATATGTTTGTGGTAGACCAAGGCCGGGCCTGCCTACAAAATAAGTGGAAAACTCCTACACCCTGCCGCCCAGGTGTAGATAAGGAGCGATTGCCCCAGGCTGGGCACAGCAAGCATTTCAAGGTCTGGAATCTGGACATTAGCCTGAATGAAACAGCTTAGTGAGTAACTACATTTTTGCCTTATATGGTAGCATAAATTTTTTCTGGTTGCTAATGTGTGTGGAGGTATGAAAGATAGTGAGTCCACACTTCTGGGCTCCCCTGACCTCCCAGACATCTCACTCTCTTCAGGCTGCCAAGACCACAAAATTTATGATGTCTCTGTGAAAAACAAAGGAGGCAATGGACAGCTGCATCTGCCTTACCTCATGTCTATGCTTTGCACTGCCTACACGATGCTTTGGAAATAAATCAAAGTGCAGCATCTTTGAACTGAACTCAAGATGTCATTCTTGCCCATTCTCTCACCTAGACCAGACTCCATGTTCTGACTCTGCATGGGGTGAAAGTTCTGCTGAGGAAGCCCCTGTTAAAAGCCACAAGTGATCCATTAGTTTAAGGCTGGGCCCCATCTGCACTGTCAAATGACTAGGTAAGTGCAGATATTATATCTGTGAAGGTCAAGGGATTACTGCCTCAAGAGGTTTTCAATGATCTATTCTGGTGGAGAAAATGCCCAATAGTACACATGTGTCAGTAGAAGGGGGACGAATGATTTAAAAGTTCTGAGAACCATCTAACTCAGGTAGAATGTGCTTAGTTATTATAAGCTTAAACTCTTAGTCACATTAGACAGTGGCAATGCGTCCCAACTCCCACCTGCTTGGTGTCTCCTTTTCCCTCTGTAAGTCTCTCCCCAGGCACCTTTACAAACCCCAGGGCTCCTTACACCACAATATTAATAGCCCTGCCCTACCTTATGCAATATTAGTAAGTTATAGTCCAAATTGGGACATTTTTGAGCATGAAAGGGAGCACGGCTGGTAATGATGCCAGACCACAGACCTAACTTGGGACCATCCTGGGAAAACTGGGATTACAGTCACCCTAGAGATGTCCCAATCCCAGTATCTGCCTGCTGAGGCTCCTTCTGAAGGAATCCTGCTCCGTCCATAACCCCTGCTGGAGAGGCAGCCCCGGGCTCATCAGGCTGACCCTGAGCCGCAAGACTGAATTCTAGTTGAGCATGCGACCCAAGGCTGGTAAATAACCCTGGGCTAGTGACTCCGGGAGACCTTGAGGCTTGGCTGGACACAACAAGCCTGGTCAAGCGGATTCTCTCTTTCATAAATCAGAAATACTGACCAAAGTAGCTGGGGGGTATGATGATTCTATCTTTTCTGCTTCCACACTGTTAACATGGGGAACAAGCACTGCCATTGTCAGTAAGTAACATCTGTCATTATACTGCAACAATTCTCAACTGCTAGGGAGTGGAGCGGGGAAGCGGCAATGTAAAAATTTCCAGCAATGTCTGCTAAACCCACAAATGTACACATCTTGACCAAGTAATTCCAAGCCTAGAAATTTATCTGACAGATATCCTTGCACATTTGCAAAATGATGTAGGTAGATGCTGTTCATTGCAGTCATGTTTTACTAGCAAAAGACTGGCCCCCCAAAACGCTTAAATGTTGATCAATAGGGAATTTATTAATATATTATATAGGACCATGAAATGTAAAAACTGAATGTACTAAATGGAATGACTTTCAAGATATATTAAGTGAAAAAAGCAAGTGTGAATAATATGCTACAGTTTGTGTACAAGGTAGGACAGAGGAAATGTTTGTGTGAGCGTGTGTTTTTGCTTGTATATGCAAAACATAATAAGGATAATAAAGGTTGCCACCAGGGAGGGAAATTGGATGCCTGGGGAGTGAGTTGGAGAATTCTTCCTGGACAATTTTATACTTGCTGAATTTTGAACCATGTGAATTTATAACCTATTTTGAAAATGAGTAAATAAAATTAGAGACCTGGGATGTATGACAGCTCTCAGGTAGGAAGTATTTAAAAGAATTTGTCTTAGAAATATTAACTCTATCCTTGCCAACAGGACTACCTAGGATTTCTTTGGGCACAATGGACTCAGGAACAATGAGATTTGGGGATTGGCAGTGTGGGGATTGGGTGACAAAGTCCTGACATCCAGCAAATACGTGCTAGGCTCTATGGGGATTACAGATATTAATAAGATAATTTACAGGTGCACAACAAAGTAAGTAATAGCTAACACTACTGAACTGTACCTTTTAAAATGGTTAAGATGGTAAATTTTATGTTATGTGTTTTTAACCACAATTCAAAAAACAAGGTAATAATAATACGAAACCAAAACAAAACAAAAATTTAGTCTTCTTAGAGCCTGGATATAATCCAGTATTTTACCCATAGATGATGCTCAACAAATGTTTGATAAATGGAATAGAACTGGCAGAAGAGAGAATTAAAATAAATTAAAACACAAAATGGAGTGAAATAATTGCAATGATAAAAGGATAAGCCAAGTGCTGAAAGAGGGGAGGAAGGGCCCATTAATTCTGATGCAGAGGATCGGGGGTATGCACATTGTGATGGAAAGGAACAAAATGAAGGGTTTTGGACCTTACAGTCCTGGGATCCATTCCTGGCTTGACTCTTTTTCTGGCTAGGTGACAATTTCTCATTGCTGCCTTGTATAAAGCAGTGATACTACCCACCTTTCAAGTCTACTGTCCCTTGTAAATGAGGTAACTCAAATAAAGCACCTAGTAAGATGTGTACTTCACATATGTTGGACCCCCAGTGAGATTCAGTAAGAACCTTAAAGGATGAATAGAAATAGACAGTCTGGAAAAAATCTAGGAAAAAAGTATTTCAATTCAAAGGACTATTATGATTGGGTGAGTCAAGCAAGAGAAGCCTTGGGATTTTCATGAAAACCATTCAGAGGACTTAAGTAACCTTTGAATATGGCTAAATGCCAGCGCAAGATCTGGGTCTCCTGTTTCCTTTTCATTTTTGCTTCTGCTAATTTTCTTCTTTTGATTTCTTACAGTTGTTTTTTTTTTAAATCCTTCTCCTCCTTTCCTTCCTCCTCCTTTTTTCCCCTTCTTTTTCCTTTTTTTTTTTTTTAATGTCAGAAGGTAGATTCTATTCTGAAGACCATTATTATTTTCCCAGGTAGTTTCAAGGAAACTACAAAACTTTTCTGAAACAGCGTAGTTTCATAGGAGTTAAGACCTGGGAGGAACTTGCTTTCAAATTTAAAACAGGGAGGACAGAGTTATTTGCTCTACTGAGACATAATTTACAAAGGAACAATGGTAACATCTCCTGTGTACTGAGTACCTGTTAGGTGCTTCGCATGTGGTATTATTATTTCTCACAACTGCAAGGCAGATATTAGCCCCATTTTACAGAAGAGAAAAATCAAACCTGGAGAAGTTAAGTGCTTAGACTTAGTGGAACCAGGGTTTGAGCCCAAGTCTCAGTTCAAGACCAAGGTCTTTCTTGTGTACTATCTTCCCTCCCCAGACTCCTTAATTTTCCCTGGTCTCCTGTCTCTAGCCTTCTAGTAATGCTTGCTGTCCTTAGTTCTGGAAGACATAGTCAGGTTTAACAGAAAAGAGTGCTTGAGATAGGTCATCTATATAAACTAGAAAAATGACAATAGTATTGCTATCTTTTTGTTGGTTCTGAGAGTAGAATTGTATTTAATAGAAGCCTAAGTTATTAATAGTTTATTAAAGTACATGAAAGACACAGGAATGCCTTTGATTCCACCAGATTCTCATAATGATTGATACTGAATCAGTGAATCCCCCTTCCTAAACCATTTTGTTTTTAATGCCTGAGGTCATATAGCTGTCCTCTTTCTGTAATTCCTTTTGCTTAAACCTACTATGCAGTGAACAGAATTATCACCATGCAGAAAAACATGGAGAGTGTGTCCTCTATACTCAGGAGAAAAATGTATTGTTTTGAGAATTTAACAACTATTGTACATATTTTATTCATTTGTTCTCTTAGTGACGATGTTTGTACACTGGTGGCCTGCTTTAAATGCTGGTGTGTTTTCTTTAATATTCCAAGTATTGTTTGTAAGGCTCAACAGTTTTTTAACTGGACTGTGCTCATGTCTGAATACAACTATAATTGGAACAACTTCTTGGGAAGTTCCTTTGCTTATAAGAGAAATGGTTCAAGTATGATAGTGTACAATTGCTTAATTACTCTTTGTTTTTATTTTTTATGAAATGCTTCTCTCTGGCTTATGATGTTCTGATGTAACTTCACCATTGGTGTCTACACACACACACACACACACACACACAAACACACACATATCCCTACTTCTTATCACATTTCTAAGATAATTTTTCCCCTGGAGGAAGATAAGACTTAAATGTTGAAAGAGGAGGGAACTTACGGGCTTTTTGCTAGAATTATAGAATATTTGTTGTAGAAATGGCTTTAAAGAAAATTTGTCTAAAACTTTCATTTTACAGATAATGACAATGAGACCCCAGCAGGCAAAGTTACATACCCAACGTTACCCAGCTAGAGGGTCACTGAGGCAGGATTGGAATCTATTTCTTCTGACTTCCAGGTTGAGATATGGTAGATTGATCAGAGGGAGCAAGCCTTAAAACAATTTGTGTTAAAGGTGCCACTTTGAAGCCATGTTCCCTTTG